TTTCATCCACACAGTGCAATTTTATTTCTTGGTTTTTATAAATACTGTAGTTTATAGATTTGATATATTATTTATATTATTTATTTCACATCTGATTAGATGCGATTGCTTTTTCTTATGTATTGACTTTAACATGTTTTATGCTATTTCCCACAGTTTCTTATCATGGGTCTTTTGTTCTTTTAATTTTGTTTATTAGGATTGATTATTTCTGGCAGACTAGCCATAGTGCTTTATCCAACACATTTGCATACTCTGTTGTTATAGGACCTCCCCTATTATAGCTGTTTTTTATCTCATTTATACAGTCTCCTGAAGAAGTCCACTGTTTGGATGAAAGCTCGAGAACAAATTTTTTTCTGTTAGTCTTAAAAATGCTGCTCTCATTCATTTTATCTTGTTGTACATAAGACTAACGCGGCTACTCTTTTTATTCATCATGAATTTACTTGATGTTAGTTAGATTCTTTATAAAAATTGAATTATTTCAGTTCAAAAATGCAAAAAAAAAGCAGTTTTTATACAGAATTTTAATATTGGGGGCCATTTTTACCTACTTGTCATTAGGGGCCATTTTTACCAGGGCCATTTTTTCCGGGGCCATTTTTTCTGGGGCCATTATTTCCTGGGCCATTTTTTCCGGGGCCATTCTTACCGTACACCTTCTATCCTATGCTGATCATGTTATAAATTATTATATATTCTTTTTCAAGGCATTTAAATTTTAAAATGAAACTATTCTACTTCTAGAGCATCAACCTTCAGCCTGTGCATTATGCAGTCTATGTTGTGATGATGAGCATCAACTACCAAACAAATCAAACATTCCAAATGGTATGCTTAGTCATTACTAAATTGCAGTTTCATTATACTGTATATTTCTTTTCATTATATAATTCGGATCGTATTCCAATTAATAACTTAACCATATCCGATTATACTTTACAATAGAGTATGCGGTTGATGAGACTGAGTTTCGATCACTGCTGTTGGAAATATCTAAACACATAGATGAAGAAGATCTTCAGGTATTGAAAGTTACTCTCACTGATCACATTAAAGATGCACAGAAACTTATTAACGCAGATCGGGCAACTCAGCTGTTTGAGTTTTTGATCAAACAAGATATCCTGAGTCCAAATGACATGCGCATTCTGTTTGAAGTATTGAAGTTAACACAACTAAATCATTTGCAACGATTCATCAAAGGATGCCCACCGGTGGAGGACATTCAAATTATTTTCTTTTCCAAGTTCCGACAGTCTGTAGTAGTCTTTGGAAGAGCACTAACTAACAGCCTTGCAAGAGAGATTGAGTATAAGTGTTTTGGTAGAGAGAGTTTGTACAAAAAGAAATGGGATCTTATTATGAAACTTGAAAGAAATCTCATTCTATGCAATGATGAATCGATAGAGAACTTTAAAGCAAAATTCAAGCGCCATGTAAGCAAATAAGCTACGATAAATCTTTACAAATACAAGAGCTAAAAATAATGCCTAGAATTACAACTTTTGAATTAAAATTTTGAATAAGAGGGTAATCAAATGGACAAATAGCTTATGCTTCCTGCTTTCACCATTAGAATATTATATATTTGCCTTTGGTTATTATTATTACAAATTATATTATGTATAAACCATGTAGCGATTGACCAGAATGCCACTGGTCACTTACCCTTGGTTACCAGCACTAGGGGCTATAATTCAGAGACATATGCCCATTCTACAGACCACAGAACGTCTGTTTTTCCGGATACACCATTATAGCCTATCGAAGACCACCTACCTTTGTCATGTATTAGTGAGATGTAAATTAAAGAGGCAAATTAACTCTTGTGACAGCCACAATTTAGTCAGTTGTCTTTGTGGTTCATCATGCAAAACATGCTCAATGCTTGATTCTACACAATCATCCAAGAGCAACTAAACAAACCACATATTTTAAATAAGGCATGTCATTCTTATATCGTATTATATGTGGTAAACAATATGTCGGGCAAAACAAAAAATGCTCTTCCTATGAGAATGACACAACATAGATCAGTTATCAAAACATCAAAGCTTGATCAAATTTCATACTGTAATGTCAATTGGAGCAAGAAAAATCTTAAGGATTTATAAAAGATAATCATTGGGTACTTTTACTTAAGAACCACACCTTTTGGACTCATAATTTTAGAAAAGTTCTCTGCTATCATGCCTTTGGATCTCCATTATTGTAGTGTCATGTATAAATTCCAAGGAAACCCTCATTGGCACCAACAGGTACATTCCAGTCCTACCTTATGGTCAACTTCAGGAAGTAACTAAGGTTATTCACCCTGGTAGTTGGTGAGTCAATGATGTGTCATTAACCATCTTCTTGGAATCTATATAGCTCCTCCCCTTTGGTCCCATATATATATGAGAGAATGAAATTAGTGTATTAGAAAAGGACACAGAGAGAAGGACACGTAATAGACACAGAGAAAAACCATAGAGATAGAGAGGAAACGTTTTATGTTTACATTATAGAGTTCAGCACATTTTGTATATTTGATTGATTGTGATATACAATAAAACATAACAAGGAACTGCATAAAGTCTACTGAGTATAATTCGAGTTCTAACCTCTCTTGCGGGTCAACATAGACCCCAACACGACATGGTGGAAGACCCGGATTTGGATTACAACTCTATAACAACTTACTAGTTTTAAACAGGGCGGTTCTCCCCTGCAACGCAGGATGGTCAACTAGGCGACCACCGAAGCCAAAACAATGAGAGATAAACAGGGTAGACACATTCACCTGTCACCCAGATATTGTACGAAAGTGGATCAACCTTGGAATGGATCAGGCAACGAGACGACTACTCAAGAAGAAAGAATGAAATTCAACGCAAGACATTATTTGAACTTTCTGTTTATTTTAATTTGTTAATTTTCGTTTACTGTTTTGTACATCTTGATACGTTGGGTAAGCAAACTCACACGATTATTTTTTAATGATATAAGTTTACTTAAGTTTCTTTTAAAATTTAATCCTATATTTCAATTATGGCTCAAAACCTTCGGCAAACTGATTTTCTTCCAGCCCGTTTTTCGGGTGACTCAATAGACCATTAAAAATGTATTGCCCATTTCCTTAGTTTCATGGATTATTTACAAGCCCATGATTTACAGGCTCCAGCTGACGAAGAACAAGTTAATGCTGTCGTAAATTTATTTAAGCGAACTCTTATCGGATCAGCCCGCTTATGGGTGGAAGGTAAAACAGAAATTAACCAAGACTCCCTGGTACAATGAAAATCAACTAGTTTATCTTCATAAGCCTGACTCTAGTAGTATAACTGTACCATCAAGAAAATTTTCTGCTAAATGGGTAGGTCCATTTGCAATTTACAAGGTTCTTGATCGTTCACATTACATGCTATGTACTTTAGATGGGAAAATTCTACAAGATGTGTTTAATTTTAATCGACTTAAACCCGCATTTATTAAAACATCCTCAGCTAATGTTTCTAACTTACAAAAGTTGAAAGAAGTTATGTCAAAAGATGACAAAAATTATAAACCAAAAGAAAACATTGTATGTTGTTTTATGGATGAAAATGCAAACGAAATAAATGAAACTAACTTGTTAATGAGTGCATGTACACTTTAAATGTCATGACAGATAAAATCGAATTAGATAATCACATACGTTTGTGTGTAGATAATGGTGGTATAGCATCATCTTCCGAGTTAACAAAAGACCAGAAAAATGATGTAATTAAATTGTTGGAAAATGTACCATGTACTGTAATAACATTGAATTAATTCGAGCACAATTTCATGTTGGTAGATTACAAATATTAATAAAACTATTAACTAATCATTCTTATTGGTGGACACCTGATTTGTATCCTGATTCTATGACAGTAGTTGAAGCTGTCCTAAAACATAAAATTATTAAATGTACAGGTAGTCCGAACAAGTTTATAAAGAAGATTCATAAGTAAATATTTGATTGCATATTGTCAGAAGAAATGCTAAGCTCTAAAAACTTTACAATTCATCATAGGGTATGGTTAGGAATATAAACATAAAGCAGCTTTCCTTTAACCAAGGGCTCCCCATCATGATTATATTGTAAGCTTTGCATGTTTTCCTTGTATTATGAAGTAATAGAATGACTTTGTATTATTATTATTACAGTACTACTATATTGTAAGTATAGTAAGAAGAATTGTAATGATTTATGTCCTTTGACCAAGTCTTGAGAAGGAAATTCTGATTGAAATTTGATTTAAATAACAGATGTGTATGACTACCAGTAGGTATAGTAGTATAAATTGTATGAAGTAGTAGTTAAGCATTTAGTTAAGGTAATTAAGGTAGTTAAGGATGTGTCAATTTGTAAACTTTTAAACTTTATATCTATATTCAGTTAACATTTTATATGCATTTATTATGTTTACACAATTATACTTTATTATATAATTATTTTATGAAAGAATTACGAAAGATGATCAGATAATAGAAATTTGCAGTGTTATATCATTGTGTAACTGTATGTTTAAAATTGCTTGTCTCATACGGTATTGTTTTCAACTTAAGAAGAGTTTCCTTCAATTTAAGTGTAGAGTTAAGTTTTGATTGATTTTTAGATAAGTATGTATATCATATATTTAATTTCTTAATTTCATAATTAGAACAGTTTCTTTGATTTCACTACGTTCCATCAAATTGGGAAAAAGGGGATGTCATGTATAAATTCCAAGGAAACCCACATTGGCACCAACAGGTACATTCCAGTCCTACCTTATGGTCAACTTCAGGAAGTAACTAAGGTTATTCACCCTGGTAGTTGATGAGTCAATGATGTGTCATTAACCATCTTCTTGGAATATATATAGCTCCTCCCCATTGGTCCCTTATATATATGAGAGAATGAAATTATTAGAAAAGGGCACAGAGAGAAGGACACAGAGAAAAACCATAGAGTTTTATGTTTCCATTATAGAGTTCAGCACATTTTTTACATTTGATTGATTGTGATATACAATAAAACATAACAAGGAACTGCATAAAGTCTACTGAGCATAATTTGAGTTCTAACCTCTCTTGCGAGTCAACATAGACCCCAACACGACAGTAGATACCTAATACTATAGATATTGTTTTACACAGCATTCCTAATAGGCCAATCATTTTTGGCATGTATATAATAATAATTCATGATGTTTTTCATAATCTTGCTGATGAAGGCCATAAGAGTGGCAGAAATATCTGGGTTATTAATAAATCAATGTTCTTAAAGTTTACTATTGAAGTTGTTTCATTTTTTTCTGTATCCTGTTGAAACATACATGCAACACAAATGAAAGGCATATATTCCTCATTTATAGCTTTGGACAATTGGTAAATACGGGGATTGTAGTTGAATATGAGGGGGATCTGTGTGGTTATAGGATTTGGCTTTGTATTTGAGAACGTTGAGTCGTGATTTTGATGAAGATTTCTCAATGTTGCGTTTTATAATGAGGGATATGGTACCGTAGTTGCTGGTTAGCATTTTGATGTACTTATTAAATTCTGTATCAGTCCAGCATATATGTTTGATTTGCAGTGCTTCGCTGTATACCGTAATTGGTTAAATATTTCATTGGGAGCCTATTATCTTAGAATTTTATCTCGCTTATTTTTTCCTACAGTCTTTAACTAATTATATTCTGTATTTCTTATTCATGCGCCACAGACATATCTTTTCAAGAATCAGGAAAAGTCCTTTCCAAAGACAATAAACATGGACAATCCCTCTTCCGTACTTTGCTGCTGAAGCTGGTGCACAGAAAATATGTTTATGGTAGGCCGCTTCGCTCTTAAAACGCATTGCCATTCTTGATCGACTCTTGATGCAAGTTTCTGTAGACTACTTAGAGCGATACAACTTCCTGGGTAATGTAAATACATCAAGACAATAGCTTCAAGTTTTATTTTCTATTGTACATCACACATGATATGTTAATTAGATCTCTATGGTTGCCGAAAGTCGCAGATAAAAGATCAAGAAAATTTTTTGGGCACTTCGTTTTGATATATATAATAGTGATGTGTTTTACTATATAAAAGTGTAATTTCTGGCCATTTAGAGGTAGAATTTCCTAAAATTTTTGCTGTGATTCCGAAGGTTCGGGACACAGGCTGGCATAGTTTGGGAAATTTACTGAGCTTGAATGCTAAAATGACCAGAGGCGGCGCTACAAGTGGGTCGGGAACTAGAGAACTTGCCCCCCCCCCCCACGCCGAGACCTTGAGAAAAAAAAATTATATGTATTTTTTACATATTAATAGACTCTAAAATCAATTAAAATAGCCTTTGAAACACCTAAATTGTCATATTTTGACCACTTTCGAGAGGTTTGACCGATGCCTGACCACACCCACTTTTTTCCTCGTCGCAAACATCAGTACCCCTATCCTGGACATCTGGCGCCGCCACTAACAATTGATTAAATAACTCGCTTAGTATCGTGATTCTACTGGTAATTGAAAATGCTAACTACCGAAAATATTACAGATGCTGAGTGTCTCGAAGGGCAGCTGCTCAAGCTGATTTGAACCCAATAATTTTTTTGTTGATGAGCTACAGTATGCCTAATACGATTATTACTTAGTCCTATTCGAGCACTGCTGTTATTATTCACCTATTCATTTAGTTACGGTGCTACGCAGTAAACAATTTACTATGATTTTCCAGCTTAACCACACTCCATTATATAGTTTTTGCCAGATACAAAAGTATGCATACTCCAAGCAAAGATATGCCATCGTGCTGGGATTGAATATTCATATTTAATGGGACATCAAACAAATGTATGTCCAACAGCTGTTCGAATAACCTTCTACTTCATCAACAGTTTGAACAAATATTTTTCAGTCCGACAGACAGAAATATTATAGTCTATTACCAGCTTTAGCCTTAAAACTAATTGCCAAAATAGATCTAAAATTGACATTTTTTTTTAATGGTTAAATGAAATGTCATCATGAGCATATTTAGGTATGTCACATATTTTTTCACATATAATTTTATAGACGGGATTATAGTTTGATAATGTAATTCTGGGGCAAATGCAGAATTTTTGCGGTAAGGGGTGCATAAAAATCCACACCATGGTTTGGGCTGAGGTGAGAAGATTTTGAGAATATGGACCTCAAGGCACCCGGAAATTGAACTCTTATACTTTTAAAATCTTATTGGTAATATATTTTCAATGATAAAAATAATATATAAACAATACAATACAACAATTATTTTTTTTAAGACAATCTAGGGGGTGCGATCGCACTGTTGCACACCCATGCATCTGCCCCAGTAATTGATGATTTATCCTGTGGAAATCACACTCAAAATACTAATTAAATTAAATTAAATCTATGATCTATTGTTTTAATGTGATGTTTTTACCGTTTCTCGTTCTTGTTTTCCTTTTGTACAAAATACACCAATTTAGCTTTTGGCTACCAATGTATTTTTTTTTATGAAGGAGTTTTTTGAATAAAGATACCGATTATATATATGAAAAAAAGCTACTGTATTATAAAACAATCATTAAAAAAATACACAACCAAATATAATTTTAAACCTGCAAGACCCAAAAATCAGCGATAAACGCTATGTTACAGTGAGTATTTATTTGGCTGTAATATTTTTGAGGTGATAAGTGAGGATAAACTAAATAAGACTATTACAATTTTTTGTTTATATTTTTCAATTGACTGCATTCATCTATTTTATCTTTGTCTTTGCCATGGTTGGTGCTTTACAAATGCCTTTTCCTTCAACTTTCCAGGGGATACCTTTGTAAGTGGCTACCTTATCTTCGTTGGTAAACAAATCTGCCAAAATTTTTTCTAGAACTTTCTTCTTTGGGTTCATCTGTGGGGGAAAGTCATCCACTGAAAAAAAAAAGAATTGCAATTTCAAATAATAAATATGTTTATATTATTAACAAATTTTTATTGGCATGACATTATATCTCCAATAAACAAGAACAAAATTGAAATTCATTTTTATTTATTTTTTTTTTTTTGCTACTACCTATCTTTTATATTACTATCTTTATATAATTCTATTTTTATATTTTGTTTTATGCATTTTTGCCAACTTTCATCTCAGACAGATAATGAATCCCAACAAAATCAGAAGATTTTTAGTGATTATGTGATTTTAGTTTTAGGACTTTTATACTAAGCAAAAAGCAGTAACCTTTATATGAACTTGAACAACTAGAAGTTAAAAAAATATATATTAATAATAATCGCTAACATTTACATGAATTACAGAACCAGGGGCGTACGGTGAAAAATCTAAGGGGGGGTCGAAACGAAAACGCAGGGGGCAAGCTGAACTCGGAGGAATTTAGCGAAGCTTTCAGAACTCGCGGGGTGCGTTATTTGTGAGTGAAGCGAGCAACTAGGCTGAAGCTAGGGGGCCG